ACCGGCCCAGCGCCTGACTCCAGGAAGCCCGAGTCAGAGTTGCTCTGCCCTGGGCTTCCTGGAATCAGCCGCTGATCAGTTTCAACAGAGGCTGAATTTGGACGCCTGGGACAGAGCAGCTGGGGCGCTGCCGGGTAGGTCCCCGCAGCGCCGCGTCTCCCTGGTCTGCTGGGGGGTGGCGCTAGCTCCGCGTCTCCCTGGTCCGCCAGAGGCGGCGACAGTGGGGGAAGCACCCCACACTAGCGGGCCCCCCTCCCCGGTTTGTAACTAGGGGTCCAACTTAAGTCGGACTGACGTAACCCGGGGACTGCCTGTAACTTCTGAACCAGTATAAGCAAAATCATGCCTGAAAACACAATTAAAAGTTCTTGGCTCATTAGAATAATAGAATACTACAACTGAAAGGGACCTCAAGAGATCATCAAGTCCAGTCCCCTACCCTCATGAAAGGATGCAGCACGGTCTATATCATCCCTGATAGATGTCTGTCTAACCTGCCTCTTGAATATCTCCAGTGATATCTCCACAACCTCCCAAGGCAATTTATTCCAGTGTTTAATCAACCTGATAGTTAGGAAGTTTTTCCTGACATATCGAAAGCAACATTATTAGTTGGAGAAGAGAACACTTCACACTATTTTAAAATGAGCCTCTGCTGCAAACCCAGAAACAACTATTATGGGAGCAACCTGACATTCACCTTTACAACAGCTAAGCAGGTAACTATAAAAAAATTTAAGTGTACATGGCCTGTCAAGTGCTTCATATAGTAATTTCCCTTTTCTCCTGCCACTTAGCCAAACATTTATTTAATTAATGTCTACTCTATCTAAACATAAAAATAGCAGCCCCAGATAGATTATCAAGAAAATTTACTTGAGCTCCTGCTTTACATGGCTTGTTTTGTAACCTAATGGAAAGTTTTAGGTGATAGTGGTTCTAACCTGAACAATCTTGGGTCTCTGAAGGAAAATCTCAGCAGGGAAATCTTGCATAATAACATCCTGTAGAAGTTCACATGTGCTCCAAATTAAACTGTGGTTTTTACTTCTCAAAGAGCTAAAAATGAAGTTGAAATTCAGTTAAACATCAGACATACTAGAACACTAAAAGTTATCGTAGATCAGGATAGGCAATAAGCCAGAGGTAGTTCACCAAGGTTAGCCCACAGGCAAGCTGCTGGCACTTTATTTTCCTGCACTTCTACAGGTATGACCACTTGTAACTTCTGTTGACTGTGGATCACTGTCCTGGCCAATGGGAGCTGTGGGAAGTGGTGAGGACCAGGACCCCACTTCCCACATCTCCCATTAGCCGGGAAAGGTAATCTGTGGCTAACAGGAGCTGCCAGTGGCCATATCTTCAGATGTGCAGAAAAATAAAGCACCATCAGTCCACCAAGTGCTAACATTGATGAACCACATCCAGCCTGTGGGTTGCTTATTGCCCACCACTGCCATAGATGAACATTTCCTTACAAAGCTATGTGTGTACTTGAAAGCCTTTTCCAAGTAAAGGTTTCTGGTTGTGTTGTTACATCCAACAGAGTTACAGCCAAACAATTCCATTTGCAACCCACCCAAAGTTTCAACCTTGATTTCTGAAGGAAAATCTACTACTATGTCCTTTAGTCCATCAAAGTTGAGATAAGAAAATCAGAACTTCACTGTGCACTTCATCATTCCCTACAGTAAATAAACTGACTCAAGTCCCAACAGTAACAATATTCTACCATTAGAATATTCTGAACACCAAATAAACAACACTGAGAATTTCAGTCAGATGTAGGAATTTACATAAAAGAAGTCAATTAAGAACAAAAGCCATTCACTCTCTTTATTATTTTGTTTTCCCTTCCAAAAAAAAAAAAATTTGCTCCAATTTCCTTTTCTCAAGACCTTCTCCTTTGCTTGTTTCAATTGTTTCATCCTACTCATTCTTATTCACTGTGCCTCTTCTTTCACTAAAAACAGTTTTTAAACACCCAAGCCCATGTAGCAATCTTGCCCAGTTTTGTGAACCAGAGTCAAGCTGTCAGATTAAAAGGGGAAATTAAAACGTTAGATTTTTCAGATTTTGCAATTTATCAAATGAGAAAAGTGGACAACGCTATTTCTTGTGTAAACTAAGATATATACTAGTTAGAGGGGGAACAGGCCTCCATTATTCCCTGTATTAGACCTATCTTATCTTCCTAATGCCTAATCTTCAGTGAGTCAAGCAACAGAAGTTTTTATCACAACACTTTCAAGCAGGGATGTAAAAACCATCTAAACCAGTTAAACAATTTGTTTAACTGGTCCTGGACCTGACCCTGCTGCAGTTGCAGGCCGCTGCAGTTGAAGGCCACTGCTCTGGCCCTTTGGGCTGGGAGCTGCTCCAGACCCATTGGCCCACCCTCTGTGGGCAGGGGAGACTGCTCCCATCAGCTGGGCCCTCCAGTTAACCGGTAAGCATGCAGGTAAGTCTAATGCTTACCGGGTAACTGGTTAACTGATTAACCTTTTACATCCCTACTTTCAAGGTTTTGATAGCCTAAAGTTCCACCATTAGAAAAATCATCTAATTTTAAAAAAGAGAGTAACATCAGGATTTAAAGCTTTTCACACTAAGAAAGAGGAGTGTTTGGCTCAAAGGACTGAAACTGAAACATATAGCTGCAGTTCACTGGTTCATAGCTAGATAAGGTAATAACAATTTGGTGGCCCATTCAAAATAAGATAATGATCTCATTCCAGTTAATACCAACAAGTTTTTCACATTCCCAAACCCACCAAACTGGCATTGTTGTTGGCTGACTAAATGACAAAAGTTGCTAAAGTTTGCTAAAGACAAAGTTAAGACACTGTAGTGGGAAGAATGTACTATGACTGCTACCAATCTTCAGAATGCTTTCATAATAACTCAACTCATTTAAAAAATATTCACAATAGGACCAGTTAGTGCTGAAAAAAACAAAGTTTGAGTAGTTGCGATCCAATGAAGTGAAAATAACTATTTTCCATTACTGTACCTTTCATTTGAAGAAAGCACATGTCTGTCCGTTGTGGTCAGCATTAACCAAGGAAATGTAGAAAACTTCAAACACTTCACTGCCTGATTTACTGTAAAAAATAGCAAGAGTTACTATGATTTATTGTTAAAAAAACATATTGCAAAAATGTTAATGTATTTCAGCAGGGGAGTCAATATTTGTAAACGTGTACAGTGAAAAACAGAATTTTTAATTATAAAACCCAATACATGAGTTCTAATGAGTTTCCAATGGGGGTAGTCAGAAAAAGAACAAGCTGCGATAACTCAGTGATATTACATAAAGAGATTAAGTGAAGGGACATAGTAGCAATATTTACTTGTTTCCAAAACATAAGAACTAGAGTTCACTACATGAAATTAATAGGTAGCAGGTTTAGAAAAAACAAAAGGAAGTTCTTCTTCATATAGCACAGAGTCAACTTGTGGAACTCCTTGCCAGAGGAGATTGTGAAGACCAGGACTAAGAATGTAAAGTACTAGTCAACTATCCGATAAGCAAATGCTTATTAGATAAGTCAGCTAGTCGCTCCCCCCTCCCCACCTTGCTGCCTCTATCAGACAGGGGAGAAGAGGGGGATACTTAAACGTGGCAGCATCGCACAGTGCCCAGGGTCAGCTGCTCCGTGCGGCACTGCCACTTTGAATACCACAGGAAGCCCAGTGTCAGGCTCCTCAGAGCATTTCAAAGTGGCAGGGCCATGTGGAGCCCTAGATCAGCAGCTGACATCAGGCTCCACGCGGCACCACCACTTTGAAACGTCATGTGGAGCCCGTGGCAGTACCTTGTTGAGCACATGGTCAGTTAAGCCCATGGACTCTCCAGCTGACCCCAGGCTCCCAGCGGCATTTTAAAGCAGCAGCACTTCTTGGAGCCCAGGATAAACTAGGGACTTCCCAGCTGATCCTGGGCTTCACGTAGAGCTGCCTCTCTAAAATGCCGGATGGAGCCCAGAATCAGCTGGGTACTCCTGCAGACTCTGGACTCCACAGGGTATCCAGCTTTGAAATGTACAAGAGTCCCCAGCGGGGGATCTTGTGCATTTGAAAGAGGAAGCACAGCATGGAGCCTGGGGCCAGTGGCCAGCACGGGACTCTGAGTCCCCCACTGATCCCACGCTCCACGTGGGTGCTTCCACTTTGAAATGCACAAGAGACCCCACTGGGGCTCTTGTGCATTGCAAAGCGGAAGTGCCCACGTGGAGCCCAGAGTCAGCAGGACTTCCCCCTTTGAAATGTACAACATGGAAGTGCTTATCGACTAGTTGATAGAAATTCCGTCATCTACTCGATAGCAAATTAATTGCTACTTAACTTCCCTAACCAGGATGGTAACAGGGTTTAAAAAAGAACTAGATAAATTAATGGAGGTTAGGTCCATCAATACTTATTAGCCAGAATGGGTAAGGAATGGTGTCCCTAGCCTCTGTTTGTCAGGGGCAGGAAATGGATGACAGGGGAGGGATTGCTTGTCTCTGTTCACTCCCTCTGGGGTATCTGGCATTCACCACTGTCAAAAGACAGGATATTGGGCTAGATGGACCTTTGGTTTGATCCAGTATGGCCATTCTTAGGTAATTTCCTCTACCTCAAATGCATCAATCTGAAATTTAATGTTATTCTTCTACAGAAACATGTACTTTTTCTAATGTGAACATAAAATAACCCTATATCCAATTTCTACAGTTGCTCTGTGTAATTTCTGAAATTATTTGTGTTTGATATCTTTTCAGGTTAAAAGATTAATTTTCAAATACAGTTAATTCAATACAGCATTTAAGTACTTTTGTATCCCTAATGATGGTTAATATGTTACTAAAAAGGGAATCACTCAAAGAAGTATGGAAACTTCAATGTCAACTTGTAAAACGTAGGTTTCATTTTGTCTCACTCAGATACCCTTGGGACCCTCAGTCCCAAACAAGGGATTTCATATATATACACACACACGACAGAATTATTTCAATTGCATACCAACTGATCTTTTTGGAGGGATTTCCATCTGCTGCAAATTACTTCTGCTTTGATGAAAATATCCAGTAATTATTTCTTCTTGGGGTAAAACTAAACAAACAAACATGAAAGTAATTCAAATAACTGATTTTCACTGTATATAAATACAATAATTTTCTTTATTCTGTGATTGAATTGTTTAATATTTTATCCCTGAATTAGAAATCTTATCAGGAAAGCTGAGTTTAAACTCATTTAACATATCGTACGTTGCCTGAATCCTCTGTCAGTTTCTAATTTTGCCGCCACATTCTCCAATTTTAAGAGGTTTCTCGTGTCTTATATGAAGTGCTGACAAATGAAATAAGTAAACAACCCAAAAGATAAAGAAAATGTTTCCTCTAATCTGAAATATTAATTTATAGTTAAATTTTCCAAAATGAACAACAATTTAGAGGTACACAGTCCATCTTACAGCAGTTTACTGTAAGGTATTTTATACACACACTACATACATATACATATATACATATATAAATACACATACGGAACACACGTCATTCTAATATTGCTTTGGAACATCAGTAACAATATGGGTTCCCAAATGTAAGCTTCAGAGAATCAAGTTAGGAATCTCATTTGCTCTAACCATGTCCATGCTGTTAGTCTTTTTTTAAA